CTTGACCACCTGAGCGACTATCAGCTTCATGAAGTTTGCTACTTGTACGCTTATCTAAATTGTATTGCAATTCTTATCAAATTTTGTTACAGTTTACATAAAGATTTTGCTCAGTTACGAAAAACTTTTATTTCAAAGAGCCCAGTACAATTCCATTCTTCCTTCGATCAACACGACGGAAGAATTTCATCACTTGTTGCCGTAGGAGACAGCGATTCTCAGAACGGACCACTACATCAACACAATGCAGACATGTCCTTGTTTTGTTTTCGTCCACAAGAATGTTTCCTTTTCATGTGAGCTTAAAACCGCCCGCGGTTATTCAACTGAAACCAAGGCTTTCTGTCCTACTAAGTTCAAATCGTGTGCCCTCAACACTTCGCCTTTCCATATTCTAAGTAAAAAATGTAAACTTTAAATTCCTGACCCATAATTTCACCTGTTTTTTTTTTCGTGGGTGTAAAACTTGGCCTCTCACATTAGGGTGCTTGAGAGCAGGGGGCTGAGGTGAATATTTCGATCAAGGGGGGTTAAATAAATGGTGGAGAAAGTTGAATAATTTGTACTATTCACCAAATATTGTTACAGTGATGAATTTAGGAAGGATGGCACACAGCACGTACGGGAGAGACGAGAAATACATGCAACATTTTAGTCGTAAAACCTGAAGGAAAGATATTTATGCGTAAAAGGGAGGGTAATATTAAAATGAATCTTACAGAAACAGGGTGTGAGGATGCGGATTGAATGCAAGTAGCTCAGATCACTTGGGAGACGTAAGCAAAGGCGTGGGGATAATATTAAAATTAATATTAAAAAATATGACGTAAAGTTCTGGACCGATTTTCAAATGACTCAAGACAGAGACGAGTGGCGGGCCCCCATTAACACGGTAATGAATCTTAGGGTTCCATAAAAGAGGGATTGCCTACCTCAACTACTATCAGCTTCTTGAGGACTCTTCTCCATGGTCTTGGTTCTAATACGATTTCCTTACTGAAAAGCTTCGTAATTCAAGGTAATTATCGTTAAGATTATTTATCTTTCGTTTAGCGTGATTAGCGCGTTGCGGATTCATAATTACGCTAACAGGAAAAAAAGACTGAGGACAACCACAGCTCATGGTAACCGTGGGATTTTTGAACTTCATGCAAAAGTAGTTAAAACTCTGTGAAATTTCAGGTTCACACAGCTGTCTTCCGTCTTGGTTACAGCGCCGTGTATATTCTGGTAGATACCGACCGACGTTTCACCCAGATTACAGTAGCAGTAAATTCCTCTGAAACGTCGGTCAGTATCTAATGGACTAACCGCGTTACATTCCACATTACAGCCATCTTTATATTTAGAAGAAGGAAAAACCTATACATACAGGTGCAATTTTGTCCTTATTTAAAATTGAGCAGAAAGGAACTGTTTTCCTTGCGTTCAAAGTCCTCCTAATAACCAAGATTATTTATTCCTATCTCTCTGATTCGGCGCGTCTCAAGTTCACTGCAGATGGGACAGGTTAGGAATTCGACGGGGAACTTCTTCTTGGAGAGTGAATATAGAGCTACAACAATTTCTGTCTACTCAAGGACGAAACGAAGTTGCTGAAGACCCGGATGGCAGTGACAATGAAATTTGCTTCAGACTGGAAAGTACCAGCGTCCTGAATACTAATGATGTCGTTGCTCCCTCAGTGTAAGAAAAATGCACAGTGAGAAATACCGGCTGATTCTGTAAGGAACCGGACGTTCACGTATGTGAGGTTAGATTTTGCTCAGTTGGGACCCTACGGGTGGGAAACTTCAAAACTGAGAGGAAGAAAGTAAAATATACGCGATTTCTGCTCTTCTGTGTCATGACGCCTTGAGTGACTTGTCGTAACCATGGTAACAACCTGCACGATTACACACGGGGTCATGACCCCCGAACACCAGAATGTGAAAGAAGGTAAAATCCTTTGGGAAAATGTCAAGTTGCGTCTGACAGCTATCAGGTGCTGGGACTAGGCCACTCTCATGTATAAATATTAATTGACAATTTGTGGAAATATTTGTTAAAGAATTCTCAGAATTTCTTGGTAACTTTAATATTAATGACGCCAGGAACAAGCTCCTGTAGTTTTCAAACTATTTAATTACTCAGATCCAACAACATCCATCCCGTTTTTGTTCTGGTAGGGTTAAGCGATTTGAATGGACTTAATAAGAAGAAGAGACCTGAATTTAAAGCAGCTAAAACCCTGGCTAATACAGTTTCAGGTATAAATTCGTTACTCAACTGCGAATGTAGTAAAACATGTATATAAATTTAAGTTCCGGTAATTAATACGTAAACTATTTTGTACGACCTTATACAACAGTTATAACTTGACAGTCACTAAAACTGGTAGATTCTGCTTTCCCCTATGAAATTTCAGGCCGATCTCCACGTGGCAAGTTTTTTTTTACGTTGATTCAATTTCAAAGTTCGTTGTGGAGCAAACAACACGCGTTGTGCGTTATACGATTCCCTTACCTGCGTATCCGGTTATCGAGACGAAAAAAGACACACAAACTTACAAGCTCAAGTGAAAATTTCAACCTCCGCATTAAATATGAATGAAACGAAGTCTCCGGTGAAACAGGGGCCTAAGTTACAAAACAAACTTCCTTCCAAACACATTAACTGCGACGTGTAATCTGGCTTCAGTTTACTGACGTTTAAGAGGTGCTTTCTGCCTACATCATCAGGGTTATAATCGCCCCAATGATAAAATTCCTCTGTCCTCCCAGGACTCTGGCGTCGACTATCAAATTTCCTGCATCCTCGAGGCGGTCCCACTTATCGTGTTGGAATTCGGGTTTACCGGCGTCAACTGAATGGTCTGACTCACGCATACCTGGTATTGAACGCCTGCCACTAGTTGCTAACTCTCTATTCTTTCTTACTCGTCTCTTACCGTTATAATAAACGGGTTTTAAACGTAACCATAAGATGAAAACAGTTCTTCTCTTAAACGCTGGTCTACCTACGAATCCACATAAAAATTCTTCAAATGAAGATACTTTATCGACAGTTTCAAGGTTTCTGAAATCGAAAATATTTTGGGTTCTGGGGAAAAATGGGAGTGTACTGCATCCAAATTCAAGCTCCGAGCTCCCTCACTGGGTAAGTCCTGTTAAAAGCTCTGCCTAGTAACCGCGAGGCAATTAGACGGCCTACAGAGCAAAGGAGTTGGTACCTGACCTGAACCCGTAGCCTTATTTAAAAGTACCCCACTACTACACTTATCGGTCACTGATACCAACTTGTCAGCGCAAGGCCTGTATAAGATCTATGATCAATAACGGAAAGCTACAGGTTTCCAGGTTTCCATGGATCCGGGGCATTTCCGGGTGTGGCATTGAAAAACCTGCGCAGATCGCATCCAGTCCATCTTATCATCAGCTCATGCGATCTGTTTTCAACGATATTTTTCCGCACGATTGACTTCAGATCACGCGCAGATTAACTACTGGCAGCGTAGCTCTTCCTGACGTAACGAGGGCTGATATCCCAGAGCTACGATAACACGCTTTCTACATGAAAGACAAACTTTAGGATTTTACTGCTGTAATACTCTACTTTAAATATCTTTCTAACTTCAGGTAATTTCCCAAACCTCACTGAGTAGACTGTTAATTTTATGTTAACGGTAAAAGTGCTGGTTCCACATGCACTGATTAGTACCTAATGAACCGGTAAAACACTGCGCAGTCAGTACTCGGTTAATCAAGACGTTTTCCGTCACCATGGAAACCGAACGCTCATCAGTGTGATGACAGAATCAAGCCGACAACCGCACACTATCCACAGCCTATTTCCCTTCAAATTAATTTTAATATTGTCGTTCCATCGAATTTTCCCCTCCCTTCAGGTTTTCGAACAAACATTTTGTACGTATTTGTCATCTTCTCCAGCGCGCGCTACATGCCCCGCCCATGTTATTCACCTTCATCTGACCATCGTAACAACTTCGCGAATGAGTGTGACACGTCACTGTGTACGAAGCTCACGAGGGCGTTATAATCGCCTTCCTTTGCACACAGCAGAGTAAACACTCGAGGCCACAAATAACCAGCACATTTCCAGTTGCACACGAGATGTCTATCTGTCTACCCAGAAATTCCACTCACTTAGATTTCGGCGGGCTGCCCCCCCCCCCACTCCATGACTCAGTGTCCACACAATAAATTTTGCAGTGTTTATTTATTTAAACTGAGGTTCTCAAGGCGCTGAAGAAGTCGACGTTGGTTTTTCGAGTTTTAACGTCGTGTGGACTTGCAGATACCAACATTTAGGAGGTAGCCTCGAAGATTGAGACAGCATGTTCCTCCCACACGGCGTTACAGCCCAGAAGACGGAAATCTTCATACTCACCGCCGTGAGAACCTCAAGTCTTACAATTCCAACTTTGTCCACACTTCAAAACGAATGCTAATGTCAGCCGATGTGACCGCGCAGAAGCGCCTATAATTATATTTTTGTATTTTACCTTGTTTTCGGACTCAGTCCGTGTAATATTCCTATCCGATGCTATTACTAAGGAGATTTTATCTTCGTTGTTTTAAACGTATTCTTATTATTGCTCGTTTTAACCACAACACATTCATTAATCCCTAATTTTCTGGGAAGCATACGGCTCTTCCTTTCGGTGGGGCGGACAAACACCAATATTTAAATAGCAAATAAAATTGATCAAGATGGACTTACGTAAATGTTTTATTTTAAATCAACCACGTCCTCAAAAAAAAATAATTTAAATTCAAACCCTCAAATCTAGAAAATAAGTTCGAGGAGCCAAGGTAAATTTTGAAACAGCATTGCAATCAGCTTTATCGGACAATTGCAAAGATTGTTTGTCTGATAAACTGGACAGATAAGACGGCGTGGCCACACAGTGCAGTACCTAGACGTGTGCATCGCTTGCACTCGTCCACCGTGCCATGGGCGTATTCCTGGACCACGTCGTGCGATCAATAGAACAGCGCTGCACACCGTACGTTCCGAGGCTCTCATAAATACCGGCTCCGGACCAAGCAAAGTCACTCTTCTTCAAGGACTGTTTTGTGAGACTACTAGATCCAGCGTCTTCGAGGACCTACACCTGAGCAACATCATGCCTTCTCCTTGCTGCGATACATGCAAAGGTAAGTCCACTTATACGATCTCTGTAACACTAATCTTTTGCTGTCATAGACGCAAGGACGTAGTAACCTAATCGGGGCACATTTTTTTGAAAAGAAGATGGCTGTCTTCTGAATTTAAGCACAGTAAGAACTTCAAATCCTGTTTGATTTTGTGAAGTTTTGCATTGAGTGGGCAATATAATTGCTTCAAAATTAGGTTGTTTATTAGGATAAATAGTTGAACGTGCAATGACTCGCAAAAATTTTTTCATTAACAAGAGGGCAAACGGACTATTTTTTTTTGTCTAAACACTTAACCCCTTCTAGCGTTAGGTTCATATTTAAGGCGTCGGTTCTAATCCCAAAGAAAACTCGATCAAATGGTCGATTATGTTTAGGGAAGGAATCGCTGTGAATAGACATTTAAAGGGGATTTCGTACAAAATACTAATGCCAGTAGCCATCACATTTACATAGCAATTCAAATAATTTTAAAATTACTTATTTACTCCTGAATCTATCGCATGCACACGACCTAACTTACATTGGCAATTACAAGAACGTAATTCTATCCCGTTCACTCCGGTAATTGCATACAATTTTTCGTGTTTCGTTCCTGATATTTTAGCAATGTTTCGTTCTGAACGCATTTACAAAGTGTTCCACACATTTAACTTGTTACAAGCGCAAATTACTTTTGAATTCCCGTGAATAAGTAAATTTCTCTTTGTTCACTGGGACAGCTTCAGCCGTCTGAACGGAAAGTACGCCACCTCACCACGCAACCCGCAACGTCACCAAGTGTGGTGTGTTGCTTGCTTACTGTTCAATGTAATTTAACAGCTAAATATTCCCTGGAATGGGTACCATTTCGTGTTACGTGACTGTACCTATGTTTACTTTAGTGTGTGGAATATAAAAATTAGGGCATATTTCATCTCCGAAACAACCCAACAAATGCAGATAAAGTGCAAGTTGCACTGTTCTTCATTAATCCTGTCATTGGAACTCGAAGCACTGTCAAATAATGATGAAAATGTATGCAAGTATTTTGCTTTGCATACTTTGAAAGTCGCATTATGCAGATGAATAAATGCTACAAATACAGAATTAAACTAATGTCAGGGCAGATAAATGATCATTTCTGAAACATTCTAAACCTACTAAAAAACATGCACATGGCGCAATCCAACTCTCTACAAAACTTGGTACATTAATTCAAATATTTCAAATATTCAAAAAATTCAAATATTTGAATTAAAATATTTCAAATATTCAAATTCAAATTTTTGAAATATTTCAAATATTCAAAAAATTCAAATATTTGAATTACACCTCTGGAGACACGTCACATTCTAACTACAAGCGGAACTGAAGGAATCTACTAACTGGTGACAGAATTCCAAACTATATTCACATGAAGGGACTCTATAATACTCATATAAGTTATTCTTACCGTTTAGACACCTGCGCTAAAGGTGGGAACTGCGGAAATGACTGCAAGTGCGGGACGGAATGTCGGTGCTGTTGTGGAGCGACCACTACTGATACCGGTAAGGCCAATTTCTGCAACTGTTTCACACCAACAATAATTTACGCTTTATAAAGTGAAGTTGATGAAAGACTCTTGGGGAACAGGCCGCGTCAGGCGGCTGAAAGGTGAATGAACCATCTCTTCACGGTTCATTCGTCACTCAGCCGCCTGACGTGGCCTGTTCCCAAGAGTCTTTCATCAGTAATATAAGCTTTAAACCAAACTCCATATTTGCTCTGTATTGCACGTGTGAAAAACTTCATCTCTCATTGCAAGGGACAAAGACTGATGGAGGACTTTTAAGGCAAAGTTGCCGAGGGGCATATTTGTACCTGGGTGGGGAAAATACAACAGAAGGAGCTTCATAATTTATCCTCTTGATGAAACATTATTAGGATAATTAAACAATCAGTGACAAGCTGTTGGGATCATTAGGATGAACCTCCACGTTCTGAAAAAAACATGAAACAATAGACTTGCTGAGACACTATTAGTTAATCTAGGATTCTTTCTGCCCCATGTAGTTAGTTACATCATAAAACCTTGGTTTATATCTTGCTGATTCCCGCTTTTATTTCATTGCAGCAGAGAAGTGTCAGTGTAAATCAGCCGGGAAGTGCACGTGCCCCGAGGGCTCCTGCGACTGCAGCTGAGCTAACAGTTCCCTACGGCACAGGTTTAACCTGTATTTGTGCTTAATATTTTTATTTTCATAATCAATTATGTTACGTCTCCACTAAAATTTAATTATAAATCCACAATTATGCTGCGGTAATGAGAGCGAAGCGTTCAGATCTGAAGTGCAAATGAGTGTGAGATTATGCGAATTATCATGTAAGGCATCATTCCAGTAATTAAATAAATATTAATAATTATATCTGAGAGAACATGATTTCCTTATCCTATATGCAACTCATTTACCCCCCACATCAGAAAACAAAGACCAGGAACGTGAAGCGCCTACACGTCACGATATATTTCTATGGGCGTTAAGGACAAGTACCAATTATCACGTTAAACCCCAAAACTGCAAATCAGAACCGTGTATTCGTGGTAACAGAAGAAGGTGCAGGCTCAGAGGTTACATTACGGAACTAACAAAATAATGAAGATTTTGATGCTGATTTTTGGGTTGTAACACCATGTGGAGTTCAAGATAGAGGCAGTATGTTCCTCTGAAATGTTGGTATCTACCTACAAATCCACATGACGTTACTGCCCGGAACATCAACGGTGGAATCCAAACCACATAATCCCATCCATCTTCTAGACCTTCTGGCTTTCTAAATTCTGTACACATTTCTCATCTCTAAAATACATGCCACATGAATCATCCATTTTAACATTCTTTGTTTGATCACGTCAATAACAATGGTGCAAAGTACAAACTATTAATAATAAATTATTCTCAGGCTCAGGATGCTGACTTTAGTACAATGAGGAAGATGACGGTTCTCAAGACGTTTGGTTTTTTCGACTCAACCACCCGACATGGCTGGTAGCCCAAGAAGAGTTTACTATACTTAAGTCGCCATGGAAGCTCATCTTTATCCCGTTTTCTAGAGTCCCCTTTTAATTATCAGCGCTGGTTTTACGACGATACAAAATGCAGATGAAATTACAATTCTGTATATATTAATCCTTTTGTTTTTAAGATATCCGATAGAAACACAAACCTGCCAACCAACAATTTATTTCTCACAGAGTTTACTGAAAGTGGCACTGAATCAGGTGTGCCAATATTTATCATTTATATGTCTCAGCGAAACCAATTAAAGGAGCGAAAGAAATCATCAGTTACCCTGCTGCAAAGTAAACGCAGATCACGTAACGTGCACGCTGACACAACAGTAATATAAAATTTGTGTACCTACCCATTCACTTCCAAAACAGATAACTCCAGCGAGGAGGATATTAGGATGATGTATGAGAAGGATAAAAAAATTGTGCCTATGCATCCAGAAATCTTTAGAATCCACCAAGCATAAAATTCCACTTGTCCGTCAACATCAGAAATAATAACACGGCCATCACGACGCAGCATAAAATTACTGCGACTGTGAGGGACAAACGGAGATGCTTCAGCCTGAGCTCAAGACCGTTCATAGAACTTGGTGAATTAGCGATTGGAGGATGCATCATACAATGTAAACAACTAATACACTTTTATTATTTATTCATAGAACTTGGTGAATCAGCGATTGGAGGATGCATCATACAACGTAAACAACTAATACACTTTTATTATTTTCTTCAATGACAGAAGACAAAAAAATAACCATAATAAAAAATGGCATAAATATTTCTTCTCGTCTGACTACCTTCATGTTTTCTTAGCTTTATATACAGCAGCACTAATTTAAAAAGATGTGCGATGTACGGAACCAACTGACAATTCTACCGTACTATGAACACATCTTTTAATGGTCTTCTGGATTATGATGCCACGTAGTTCCATTGGTTACCAGTATTTCAAATAACATATTACCTCCATTTTAAGGACAGACAAGAGTAGAGCTGGGAAGTAAGTGCTTAGTGAGGGAAGGGTGGAAGGATCAACCAATCAGAGAACAGGGCAAGGGCCCCAACACCACGCCACTTCTCTGACCTACTCGCTTCTCCCCTTAAGAAACTGGACGGTCCTGCGAAAGACTGCCAACGACCAACAAGAGAACTCTGTCGCAACTGAGAAGACCACAATGTGAACCGCAACCACTTTGAAAAACCGGTATTTACGTCTGGAGGACTAAATGATCTTATCTTGTTTTGTAGTCCAACTGCTTTCCAGTATGAAAATGACTGAATGATTTTAGTGTCCCCTTGGACTCGAGAGACGATTCTTATTATGTATATAAATGATCACCATCATACAGCCATAAAGTCTGACTATAAGCAACACCAATTGCCGAGTGGTCCTTTTTCGAACCGAATAATTCGGGTACCAAATCGGAAGAACACAAAATTCCAATATTAAAATGCAAACTTTGATGCAAGAGCTGGAGATGACATCCGAATGTTGTACACGTGACAAGTCAGAAACCTAACTAGACCTCTCTCATACGCGCTGCGATATCCACGGAACTCTGAGCAAGAGAAAGACGAGCGAAACTCGTTGCGGTAGCGCACGAACAACTATAAAATAGCTACAACAGCAATACAAGAAATAAAACTACCAAGAAATACAAGTGTATGTGTAAATATATGTATATATACATAGAAGAAACATTGAACCTTTGGTTTAAAAACCTCACTCGACACTATTCTAGTTCTCCGCACACAGATTTGCTTCATAAACATTTTACTGTTCAGATAGCATTCCTAACGTCATTTCAATGAAAAAAAATGGAATTTCATTAAAACCAGTATGACATCACGGAAGAAATCAATTGTTCGTGGCTTAGCACATACCCCACATTTCCTTATCAGTACAGTAACTTTGCAACTGTACTTAAATCTGCGCTGTTATACAGATACCATAAATAACCACAGAAAATAAAATGTTTTATCTGGGAAATACAGAATATTTATATTGTCACCGCAACTGGACTTAAATCTGCGCTGTTATACAAATACCATAAATAACAACGGAAAATAAAATGTTTTATCTAGGAAATACAGAATATTTATATTGTCACCTAGTAAAAAATTAAGATTTCCCCTTTTCTAATTTTTTTTTACATTATTACAATGTAATAATTAATGTTTTGAAGACGATGGTTGATGTCTGGACAAAAATCATTTGTGAACTGTACAGAATGGCAGAGGTTGGGAATTATGGGATATTTAGGGCAGAAGTCATAAAGAATTTGAACCAGGAAAACCAGTCACGGGACCTTGTGAATGTAATGACCTAACTCGGATGATCGCGCAGTTGAAACGAGAAGTACAGTTCCAGGATCCATTTTTCCTGCGTCTTCTCTGTATCTCAACATGCATCGTTTCACTTCACCCCGCTAACAACTGAACTACTAGAACTTTCAGTTCTTGAATTATCTTATTACAGTTACTGATCTACAATGTTTGCAGTCTTCAATCCTATATCTTGTGCCAAGAGTACGGCTTTGAGATGAACATTCTGCAATTATTCAAAAAGATATGACATATTAGCTTTGTTACGCAAAGGGATTGAGGATGAGGGAAAGAACAGTCCGCTATTTTGTACAAATAACGCAACTGTACTAGTTAAACCTCTGGCAGCAGAAGTAAGTTTGTGGCCTGTGGTGTGCGCAGAACCAAGGATATTCAAAACGAGATTTTGGAATTTTAAAATGCTATTGTATTCGTAAAGATACTTTCGCCACATTCATATATATATATATCCAACTTTCAATTTAATGAATGTGTCATATCTATTAAAAAATCATGTCTGTAACTTTCCATGCAGTATTAAACGGTGCCAAAATAAAAACCACAAGGAGTTTATACGTGTTTGCCTGATCTCACGTCACAATCTGAACTAATTATTTTGCTAGGTAAGATAAATATGAAATTTTGGCCTAAGATATTACACTCTCGAGGTTGAAATGTGACACCAGAACTGTTCCCTGTCCTGTCACACAAAGTTATCTCCTCCAGGAAGACCTCAAATACCTGATACGTCGTACTTTTTGAAATTTCCAATAGGGTAGAAAAATAATTATAATACTTTTAATACTTCACAATTCTTGACGCATCCAGACTCTGTGACTGGTATAAGATTCAACGCTTCTTATTCAAATTCTACAAACCAACAGGCAAACACAAACATCCAAAGAAGGAACACGGCACCAACGAAGACCATGACTTGAGCTATTCAGATGAATAAGCGAGCCAAAAACCACAGAAGGAATTTAAATGCATTGGAAAAATACTGAATGCTCTGAACCATTTTAAACTTCACAACAGTCGGACAAGCCAAATTATCCAAAACCAACAGTTAGATAATGGAAACATTGAATTATGACAAATACCTTTTATTTGCGTACTACTTGGCCTTCGTAGACACTGCCAACCTCAGTAATGGTGAAGGAGTCCACATATCTGAGGTGACAGCACTTACGTCTAGCTGAAATCAATCTACACTAAAAAGACTGCATAAACTACAATTCCAGTTTCCTTACTCACCCTTTATCCCGCTCTATGAAACAGGTTCTTCATCAGTATCTGAGCTCAGTTCATCAGAATTTGGCTGCAGTCCTTGAGACTGCGAGTGCTTTCTGTGTCGTGTGTAAGCTCGGCTTTCTTCGCCCGTGTGCCGGAAGCTAAGAAGTGGATGAAGTGCAGATCGCAAACTCCAGAACAGCCGTGGGAACAATATCTCCTGTTGTGCCAGTAGTTGCTTTGTGCGATGGCGCTCCTGAAAATAATATCATTATCACAAAAGGATGATTTGTAATCTGTACTTAGAGAGGATACAAATTATGAGGGCATTATATATATCACTTTAGAATGTTCCTCTTTAATAACATGTAACTTCAGGCGGGACTGCAAAACGCACTCTACATTTCGTACTCACTTTTGGTGCCTCGAAACATGCTGGACAATTTTCTGGAATAACTGGAAGGTTCCTGCTCTCGGCAAACTGACGCAGGGATTTTTCTCGCACATACACAAATGGGCGAATCACGCGCAGATCTCGTTCCCTACAGTGAAATACCACATTAGAGATAAAATTTAATACTAATTACACTTAGTCAATCTCCATAATAACACAATGTCCCCTCTCATAATTCTGACAGAAACTGGGAGGTTTTTTCTTGTTCTATATTCTACCGTGCTATTCCATGTTCAGCACTGCCAAGTGACAGTCCTGTTTTCAAACACAAACTTTACCCTTACAATAACACAGGATTCTACAGCTCTCCCAGTACTGCCACATTTTTACTTCAACACTTTGACTGGTCCCAGCTGAATAATTATGTAATAAGGAAACTTGTGCGTTGAAATCTTCTACAGTAGCTTCTACCACTGGTGGCATAGAAACAGGTGCACATCTATCACAGCCTGTATAATTCAAAGGGTTAAGAAACACTTTATTATTTGTGAACGTAAGTACCTAATGTAATAGTGAGCCTTCATGGTCCTTAGTCTGCCGTTATGAAACACAGACATAAAAAAACTCTCTGAGAGGTCATCAAGATGTTGTCCCAGGGCGAGCACATTGTAGCTGTAGGCACGTGCAGCTGCGTAAAGTCTACCTCGCTTCATTCGGCTGCAGAAACTGCAAACTGACTTGCACCCCTTCTCCAATGTAGCTGCTTGCTCCAAAATAGCTGTAGTATAATAAAAGGGATTATGTACTAAAGCAATCTCAGAATGAGCTCTTGTGAACATAGTAAAGAACCTTTGGGTTCCACACAAAGTGGAGATTTGCTCGAGTAGCTGAGATACTATAACTTTGGACAACACAGCGTAAAAAAACTGAGTATCTGAGCAGCCCTGTTACATAATTATGGTTGGCAACAACAAAATACTTCAAAATCTCATCAAAAATTATGTTCTGTATCACATACACAATTTGCATTCTTAAACATCGAAATTATACACGTGATGTAACCAATTACAATTTTTTTTTACACAAACCTTACCAACCTTGCTCCTCATAAAGGTAATGTACACCCAGTTCCTTGAGATATGGCACCAATGGTCGCGGGTCATACGCTGAGCTGCCGGGATCTACAGTAGCTGCCCCGATGGTAAAATGAATCCCCTTGGATTTAGCATAGAACTGGTACTGATGGAGGGTGTGCAGTAGGCTGAGGGAGTCTTTGCCCCCAGACAGGCAAACCATCACTCGGTCACCATCACGAATCATGTCAAATTCTTGAAGTGCCTGTTCAAAAATTATGTCCAACATGTAACCCCCAAAAATTTCTTAAATTGTAAGAAGTTTTAGGAAAATCTTGTGTGAAGTTTAGTCCAATTTGTCCATCACAGTCTAAACAATATTCAATGTTACAAAAATCCGTTCAGTCAGAGTGGAGTTTGAATAGTGAGATGGCCAAGACACCATGTTCATGTCAACAGTTTTAAAAGCCAACGGTGCACACACACACGCCTCATTTCACCTTAACCACTTACATTCTAACAAAACCTCACCTTGAAAAGCTTAATTTATGACTTAAAACTAATTAATTATAACAATTTGAAGCTTTGTTTTAAAAAACCATACCTCAACAGCTGGTTTCCAGATTGACTTTGGAGGGCAATGCCATCTGGCAACACCGTCACCAACAGCCTGTGCAGCTCTAGCCTCCTGCGACGTAGAACAGGCATCAGATGCACGGTCTGACGGCGGTTCTACTGGCACCGACACAAACCGTTGCTCAGCACCTCCAAGCTTAGCACCACCTCCAATACTACTGCTACTACTAGAATCTGACAAATCATTCATTTTACGAACACACTTTCTTGCCAATTCGCTACTTCTTCTTTCGGCTATTCCGTGCGACGACGAATCGGACTCTTGGAAAGTTAAATTAATCCCACTGTCTTGTGAGCTGATGCTATTTATTGTGGAACGCATGTGATGGAAATGCTTGTTGTCAACTGTAACATCTTCTGGTGCCTCTTCATCAGTTTCTTCAGCAGCAGTCTGACCATTCTTCGCATCTATACCGAGAATCTGTATAACGGTCTCATCGCTTGAGCATTCACTTGACTGTGTTCTCTCTCCACTCAACTCCCCTAACTTTGTATAGATGCATCCTGTAATACCAGGGTAAGACCCTGGGGTACCTACAGGAGAATTTGCTGATGATGATTTTTCTTCATGACTTTGAGCATCGGGTGAAATGAGGACATCCACTGCATTCACCATTTCCCTAATTTCCGACTTCACCTCGGAAGCCATTTCCCTGGAAACTTCCATCAAGTATTCAGCAATGTCGTTTGCAGACAATGAGTCGCCCCTAACACTTTCACCCGAAGCTGTATGAAGTTTGTCCAATGACGGATTAGTTAGATGTTGATGGAAAATACTGCAGGTTTCTCCTGCAGAATCCATACTTTCTGACAGAACATCTTCTACTTTGGATATCACTTCACGTATTTCTGATTTGATTTCAGTTGCTAGTTCCTTTGTAACTTCTTTTACGTATGCTTGAAGATCTTCTGGACTCTGAGTCGAGATAGATGACGGCGTGGGAGAAGAACGACCTGTTGCGCTACAATCAGTGGCAGAGGATGCATTCAGCTGAAGCATGTTCAAGCTTGGCAATGAATCCATCTCCAGAGAGTTGAGATCTGTCTGACTGCTGCGGCTACAGTGCCGCTGCTTCGTATCTCCCGCACCCGCTACCCCAATACCAAGACTGGCCATCGTTTGCGGACTCAGAACTTGAGGCGAACATGAACCAAGGCTATGACACCGTGTCCGAGGCGGACATAACTGCTCGTTCATAATATTCGGAGTCATTCCTGGTGGTAATTTTGTCATGACAGCAGCTGGATTCACCACTTCACCAACAGCAAAGTGTACAGGGCTTTGACTATTGTTGAAGAATTGTGGATTATGTTTATGAAGACACCCATCACTTCCACTGCTGATATTCAGGAGTGGGGGGTACATGACAGAAATGGCACGTGGGACCACATTTTCATGTTTAGTGTGATCAGTACACGGCAAACTGTTGTGGCGGGGGGACCCGAAACAAATGGGCCGTGAGAACAAAACAGGAAGAGCACGGCTACCAGCATTCGATGCCACAGGAAAGACCTCAGTGACACTCCCACGTGA